GAGAGGGAAAGACCAGTGGGTCCAGAGAAGAGAGAACACCCCCAAAGAGCAAAGAGATCCCTAGTGTAAATGGAAAGGTTGATATTAAAAGACATACTTGATTCACTGAGGAATGAGAGGGTACCAGAGGGTACTGGGGCAGGTAGGCTGGCAGAGTCAATCACAGTAAACAAGGTTGTTCTGACTATATTTTCCCAATGATATACAGAGTGTTCAAAATGCAACCTGTCAAGACCTACCTGATGCTTCTCTCCAAGTCCTCTATGAGGGCTGTTTCTCTCTTCTGGCTGTTTCTCTCTACTGTATTATGTCATTGGCTTTGAACCACCTGAGTGAACCCTTAAGAGCAAGGACCATTTCATTAATATCTCAGTGTCTATATCAATCAAGGAGCTCAGCTCACGTGTTTATAAATATACTAAACTGAAATCAAGTCTCAGCGTGATAAGGAAGACAGGTGTCTCTCATTATTATTCACAAATTCTATTTTCATGTATTTTCCTATTTGAAAATTTTATCTAGATCCCCTCACAATCAATATTTGTGGTGTTTTTGTGGTCATTTGCAGACATGCGGTAAACAATGGGGGGGGGAGGTGCATCCACTCACAAGGCACGCCCTCAGCTGAAGATGAGCCAAGCTGTGCTCTGCCTTCTCACTTCAGATTTCTTAGTGTAAGCATCTGTGTTATTTATGATCTTTTTATGATTTCACTGCCTAAAATCTCCAAGCATTACACGGAAGTGCTACCTAGAAAAATGGGAGAGGATAACGAAGGACTTGAGGGAAAAGCTAGTGTGCTACAGAGCTTCATCCAGGCACATGTGGCAGGGCTGTGGCCAGGAGTTCAATGTGAAATAAACCAACAGTGCAAGTTCAATAGGATGATAGTCTATCCTAATCACTTGATGAGAATGTTGTGGCCAGAGGTTGGCAGGAACCTAACCCTGCGCTTCCCATAGCAGCAATGGTTTTCATTTGCTAATTCCGTATTTGCAGCAACTTTGTAGAACATGATAATTATTGCAAATAATGAAAATCAACTGCACTTCATTTTTCCCTCTCATGAGAAGGAGAATTATGGAAACAAACTGGTTTGATGAGGCTCGGATGAGCCTCATAGAGCCTAAGTTTATCACATTCTTGTGGCTCATTTGCCAGAACCAGGATTCAAGGAGTATGTTTTGGGGAGAAAGTGACTTCTTAGTTATAGATTATATTCCTTGAAAGCTGTTGGCCATAGTGACAAATTAGGTATCCTGGGGTACTGCACCCTCTGCCCTCATTCCACCACCAAAGCTGGTGCCTGATGCATTAGGCAGAGACACAGGGAAGAAAAATCTTCACCATATGTCTTCCTTTGAGTTCCCCCCAAGAAGCTGAACCTACAATAAGAATTTGTCATTTGTTTGGGAGGTGCAAAAGGCACCATTAGGGAATTAGCGAAGAGCCACAGATGGGAAGGTTGCTAAGAAACCAATAAAAGACACAGCATCAGGTGAGTTATCACGGTGAGGAAACTGAGGTCCTGTGCAAAACATACCCACTGCTGAGGGAATGGGGTTGCTGATGCACTGTCTCCCATCAGTCATTATTTGAGGGTCACTCTAGATGTCCTAATTCCCCTAATTCTCTTCACCTTCCAGGGGAGCAGCAAAGAAGATTCAAGCCAAAAAGAAACAAAAACCTGCCAGGATAACAGTCAGAAGTTTGTCGGTAGCCAGCTGTGGTAGTCCACACCTGTAATGCCAGGGGCTGAAGCAGGAGGGTGGCAGGTTCAGTGCCAGGCTGGGCTACATGGCAAGACCCTCTCCATGAAAAGTGAGAAGCCAGAGAGTGCTGGAGTGTCGAGGGTAAGACAATAAGGTTGGATACTGGTGTGGGTGTTGAATCACACTGAGCTGGCTATGACAGTCACATATCAACTGTAACCAGGAGTGGGGTTATTTTTATGAGGAACCTGCTGATTTAGTTACTTTTCTCAAATCTCTGGCAAAAGCAGCTGTTAGAAATAGCATAAGGGTTATGTTTGGTTATGTTTGAATCACTGTGATCTAAAGACCTGCCAGAAGCAACTTGTGGGAGGGAAGATTTATTTGGGCTCACGATTTTGGAGAGATTGCAGCTCATCGTGGAGAGAAAAGCTGGAGAAGAAAGCATGAGGTGCCAGAGGCTCCTCACACCACAGCAGACCAGGAAACAGAAGAGTACCAGAACCAGGAGCCAGGCTATCACTTCAGAAGCCCACCATCCTTTCTAACTTATTTCCACCAGCCAGACCCGCTTCATCAAGCTCTACAGCCTCCCACAAGAGTGTAACCAGCTGGAGATAAGGCTATCAAAACATGAACCTATAAAGATCTGCATGGACTCAACCCCTAACAAATAGGAACGATTTGTTTCAGCTTATTGTCCCAGAGGGTGCAGTCCAGGCTTTCTTGTCTCCATGCACTCAGGGAGGACATCACGCAGCAGGAATGTATGACAGAGGACACTCAGGTTGGACAGAAAGCAGATATGGTCTGATGACCAGGTTTTAATCCACATCTCTAGCAATGAATTTCTCAGGAAATTACTTGATTAAATATTTGTCTCGATGACCAGACTGTGACATCTCTGGGAGTCCAGACTTGGGACTTTTCCACGTGCCTGTATCCAGTACCCAGCTCCATTTCTGTTTAAGCTCACTCGATCAGTGTCCAGAATAACCAGATGGATGAAAAACAACCAAAGGCATCCTGACAGCCATGGGAAACGGTGGTGAGTGTGAAAGTGGACAAGGACTTACATAGCTCCCCCAAACCCAGCCCCCTGTGGCTGTCTGTTCTGCCTCTCTTTATAACTGGGACTGAATACAGAACTTATTGCCTGATAATCCGGCATTCATGTGCCCACAGAAGCTGTGTTCTCACCCTGCCAGAGAAAGGAATCAATGCGTCACAGTCTCTCATTAATTCAGGCTCGGAGGAGGACTTCTGAGCTGAGGCCACAAGGACAGGACAAGCAGGGAGGGGGTCCCATTATAGCCAGAGGGAAAATACCACAATGTTACAATGCCTCCGGACACACCAGGGGCAAAGCGACAGCCGGCATGGAGGGGATGCTGGCAGTCTTTATTAGGCCTGTTATGTTGGACCGACAGCTGCATGCTTCCATGAATCATTTGAAGTTAGGAGAATATGGACACACCATGGCTTCCCATTTATTGATTTGTTCACTCCAAATGCATAAATTACCATAGAATCAAGGGCTGAGTGACAAAGCCAGAGAAAAGATTCTTTCAACTAAGAAAATTGAATATGCAGCAGCCATTGCTCCGCAGCACACCTCCCCTTGACATAATTGGTTCTCATAACCAAAGATGTCAGGAAAAGGTTTCCCCGCCCCCAACTGTATGTTTTTCAGCTCCTATGAGTCCTATATGAAGACCCAAATGGCCCAGCCAGGTCCAATGCCCACCACTATTCTGGCCACATAGCAGCTGTCCATCATAAACATTTGCTGGATCTATTGTGCAGTGTACACGTGGCTTAAATAATCTTTAAAATAAACTTTTAGCATCATCTCCCCATGTCACACTACTCGTGGAAATCCTGTTACCCCTAAGAAATCAACAAGCACCCCATCTGTCCCCTGCTACACTGGTCATAATGTGACCATTCATGTCACCGCCCCGAAGTCACCAAACCACACATCTCCCCTCAAGCCAAGAGCAAAATCCCTTGGCAAATGACGAGAGCTTGAATTCATCCGGCCTCATTGGCTTTCTCTCTTCCTGGGGAGCTCATCCAAAGCTCTCAGCATCTAACCTGGCTGCCAGCAAAGCAACATCGTCAGAATCTCAGAGCGAGAGCCACTGTCATCGGGTGCAGGTGTAATTATACCTGCAGCAAGCGCAGCGCCAGCCTTATGAAACTTTCCGTGGCAGAAACAGAAATGCTGAGTACATTATGCATATGTGGCCCAGGCCTAGGTCCTAACAAAGCCTCTGTGGATCCAGGAGCTGAAAATGGGGCTTCCAGAACCCTCTAGGTTCAATTCTCAACATCTACATAGTAACTCTTAAGTAATAGTTCCAGGGGATCCCCTCTCTTCTGGCCTCCACAGGCACCCGGCATTCATGCAGTGCACAGACATACATGAAGATAAAACACCCATACCCATAAAATTAAAACTGAAAGAAGAAAAGGAAACAGGACCTCTGGAAGTGTACAGTTAACAGAAAGTTAAAAGCACCCCCGTAGGGCTGAGGTTGGGGCTGAATGAGGAAAGTGTTTTCTGTGCAAGTGTGGAAACACCAGTGCCCACTTACAAAGCCATTGTGACGTCACAGATCTGTAATCCCAGCACTGGGTGTGTGTGGGGGGGGTCACAACAGGTAGATCTCAGGGGATCAAAGCCATCCAGTCTACAAAGCCATTGAGCTCCAGGTATAGTGAGAAGCCCTGCTGCTAAAAAAGGGTGGGGAGGGGAACTATGGAAGAAGACATCCCAAATCTAACCTCTAGGCTCCAAGTGTGCCTACACACACACACACACACACACACACACACACACACACACACACATGTACACAGGCACCAATGGGACAACAAGATGGCACAGGGGGTAAGGGTGCTTACTACCAAGTCTGACTCCCTGAATCTCCGGAACCGATGTCTAAGGAAAGAACCTACTCCTATAAGTTGTCCTCTCTCTCTGTCTCTGTCTCTGTCTCTGTCTCTGTCTCTCTGTCTCTGTCTCTCTGTCTCTTTATGTATTTATGTATATATAATATACACATAATATAATGTATACACATACATAGATGATAAATAAATAAATAAATAAATTTTTAATGTTTAAAGTACCAAGGAAGAGTCCATCCTATGTGGCAGAGGGAGTTTCCAGGTTGAAAGAACAGAGGGAAAATAATAGGCTGGGCATGGGGGCGGGGGTCGCGCACGGGGGGCGGGGGGGGGGTGTTACAGCGGCATATGGGCATTCTGAGACTCTTTCAGCCCTCGGTTACCATGGTTACAGACAACATAAGAGCTGGCTCTAGTACAGGACGGGCTTCAGGCAGCCTCACAGAAGGCCCTCTCACCCCGCCTTAGACCCTGTCCTTGTTACTTCGTGTGAAGAATGATACACTCAACAGTCTCCAGTTCTCGAACCTGCTCAAGTCCACAGGGACCCACAAAGGTGCCGTCCCCACACCGCTCTGCTCCAGGCTTCCCTCAAAATACAAATCACGTGAGGAAGGAACCAGGTGTGTGATGTGGGGAAGCGTGGGAGCCCTGAGGCAGCCTGCTTCCAGGAAACCATTTATTCGAGATTACAGAGAAGACGCACCAGTCTGTCAAAAGGATGCTTACTGAAAATACGACACGGAGTGCCAACAGTCCTCCTCCACCAGCCTGTCGCTGTGTGTGCTTGTCGCTCCAGGCACACTGTCCCTGCATCTTAGTGAGGACCGACTCAGGTTCCGATCACGTGGTTCAGATGGTGTCATCACTGATATGGAAACCCCATTCCCCAACATTTGGATTGCTCAGACCAGAGACCACCCTGTTTTCTCTGGCTTTATTTGAGAACACCGAGTGGAGTTTGTTTGGGGGTTTTGTTTTTGGTTTTTGTTCGTTTTGGGTTTTGGGTTTTTGAGGGGTTTTGAGGGGGGAGGGTTGGTTGGTTGGTTTTGTTTTTTATTTTTTGTTTGTCTTTTGGGGACAGGGTCTCACTATATAGCTCGGGCTGGCCTAGAATTCAAAGCATCCTGCCTCGTCTTCCACTCAAGTGCTGGGATTTACAGGTATGAGCCACCACACACAGCTGAAGACTGGGGTTCCAGTCACTAAATATGTAAAAGAGGGGAGCTTATGAAGAATCTTCAAAATAGGGAAGTCTGAGTTTTCCCATTCCATCTCTAGTTCTCATGGTGAGTGAAAACGAGTGTGTATTAAATAGCCTTTTGACAAGCATCATCATGGTTCTCATAAACAGCTCAAGAGATGCTTTCTTTTTTGATAATTGTAGGATAGAACCCATGGCCTCACACACACACCAGGACTGTTAAATATTGGCAGTATTTGGTGGCCAGTGATAGAGTAAAACACTAAGGGCCTGTGAGGACTCTCCAGAGGGACTGAACAAGCATCATTCTGTGAAATTATTTTTAAGGTAACCTGTCATTGATGGTGCTGCTGCTGTTGTTACTGATCTTGATTTTAGTGTTTTGACTGCAGTTTTTGTTGTTTTTTCAGTGTTTGGGATTGAACTCGGGGCCCTTTACATACTTACTAGCTATGCCAGGCAAGTGCTCTACCACTGGGTACATCCCCAGACAGGCCTGGCTTTTCTTCTTCCTTCAGAGCATTGTTGAAACCAGCTAGATCTCACAAAACACACTTTGGGAAATACTGGTGCATAGTTTTACAGTTTTAAATCATAGTTACCTTTATCTCTATTGATCATCTCAATAGCTACAAAGTGCTATTGTAAGCTATGTTTAATGGGGGGAGGGGCACTAAGGCTCAACACTCACTGGTCTGGTGTTAATACAGCAATCTAAATGGATTAAGACATTCCGCCAATAAATTCAGTAGAGCAAGAACTCAAACTCAAATATTATGACTGCAAACTAGGTCTTTATATGATCTTTTTTTTAAAAAAATCAAAACAGCCTAGGTTTCATAAACCTGGACTAAGAGTATTGGACCCCAGGAGACTCTCAAGAGGGGTGCCTCTGCCATGGATTACCCTCCCTGGCAACCTGGACAGTAACCCAGATGTATCTCAAGAAGCTGAGAGTTGCTGGAACCTTCACACCAGCATAGGGCATCCATCCACCTGTGCAGTGCTTAGAATAATTCTGGGTGCATCATTTCATTTCATATCATCTGCATAACAAACCAAGGATGTGCTGGCTGTAACTTGTCCATCTTACAATTAAAGAGACCAAGTCGAAAATGAAGACATTTCCTCCAATCAGTTACCACTAAGCAAGTTACCACGCAGCTCAAATGAAGACTGAAGAGACTCAATGGATCAACAACTCCATTCTTTTCTTTTCTGTAGGCACAGCAGTGACAGCCCTGGAACTCCGATCCTTCCACCCTCAGTGGTGATGCTGCACAAGGGGACATCTTACCTTGAGTCTAAGTTCAATGATTATAACGTGCACTTAATCTCTTCTCCAGCCATTTGAATAGTATATGTGCTAGACCAGATCTGACCTGAGTTCTTTCCATACAATCTCAAATTCTGCAGTGAGAAATGAGCACCTTTAGCCTAAAGCAACAATCTCAACCAGTAGACTTAGGATATGGCTCAGGCTGGTCTGTGGTTAAAATGGGTGAAAAATAAGCTCTCTCCAATTTGCAAAGAAGGGAAATAAACTAATAAGTAGGAACTTTTATCTTTAATCTCTTTCTCTCATCATTTCTTTAAATATTTACCTAACTTCTTTTCTCACATGACAAAGTTGGTGAGTGTTCAATTGTTAAGTATAACAACTGACACCCAGCATCTCTGTTTGGCCTACCAGGCTCATATCACAAAAAAATGGGTAAATTGTGGGGCTCAGTAAACTGCAACAGCACACATCTATAACCCCAGGACTAGAACTGTGAAGATCCCTCAAGCTCTT